TCAAAAATTTAAAACTTTAAATGTTTATATCTCATAAACGAATAAATTATATTAAAAATTCAAATTCCATTTACTATTGAATTAAAAACTCAAATATTATATTAAATTCAAAATATGTGTTCCCATTTAAAAAAAACCAAGTTGACACCCTTACCAGGCATAAGGGATGAACTTAAAAAGTATTACATAGTTAATAATTCAATAATAATGTGTAACTAAAGATAACCAAAAAAATAAATGTTTAAATTATTATTACACTGTAAGTAATTGAGTGGGTTATGATAAAAAAATCACTCTGTATAACTAAGCGCCTAGTTTTAACACCATACGTCTTCTGAGACGCGCAGTGAGGTTGACTTAAGTTGACAAATCTATAAGTTATAGAGTTAAATTAAAGATGATTCTAATAATTAATTAACAGTTAATAAACCAAGAAATATAAATAACTGAAAAAAATAATCTTTTTTCATTACTATGTTAATTTTACAAGTAATTAAGTGATTTAAGGAATACCGATAACTAGTATGATTGAATTACAAAATCACCAAAGAATTATAAAAACTACTTACAATCACCATCAGATGGAAATCCGTTTGGTGAGAGCTGAGAAAATATGGTACCAAAAAAAAAAAAAAAAACACATCATAGTAAAACCAATACCTTCTCAGCTTCGCATCGAAGCTAAAATAAATAAAATGGCAATATTGTGACGATTTCCCTCTAATGCTTATATAATTTTACTGAAAAATGAACAATTTCTCAAGATAAATACTATTAAATTATATAATAGTAATAATTATATTTATTTTTTGAATAAAATTATTGAATATAAATGCTAAATTATGTATGTATATTGTGATTATTGATTAAAATTCATAATCATTAAAATTTATTCTCCTTTTGGTGTTTCTTCTGACGGCGATTCCTCCTTTTTTTTCTCCTTCAACTTTAAAATATTCTTATGTACGACATTTACGGTACTTTGAAATGACTTTTTTACAGTATAAAATAACTACAAAAAAAGTAAAACTTCATTCATCTTTCTAAATTTAATAGTTTGAGTAGTGATTTTTTTTAACTAGTAATTGTTTAAATAACTGTTAAAAAAATTATTATACGCACAGATATTAAAAAAATGTATGAATGAATTAAAATTATACAATAACTTACTGATTGTGGTATATCTTCTTTTAAATATTTTCGATACGTTTGTGAGCATGCTCTTACAACATTCTTGCAATCATCGGTTCCTCCTAACGCTTTTAAAATCTTTGAATTACATAATTTACAAACATATTTCCCCATTTCATTATCTACCTCATCCGGAGTAATTCCATTTAGTTCCAAAAGTGCTCTATATCCTCTACATCTTTCGCTGAATTTTGAATCAAATGTTCCTAGAAATTTCCATAAGAGTAAAGAAAATTTTTTTCATCTATTTTTAATTTAATCTATTTACCAAAAATACCGCTTACGAATTTTAATAAATTAAAACCAAGTAGGCATTCTGCCAGCTTTTTTCTTGCAATACATTCTCTGTTTAATGCTTTTTCAGGAGTATCAGCATCATTTTCTGATGCTGTTTCTTTTTGAATAATAATCTTTTAAAATCAAAATAATATAACACGGTTAGAAGCGTAGTAATTGGAGTTTAAACAACAAATAATTTAATCATAAATTAAAATTAAAATTTTAAATAATATTAACAAACTTAATTTAGTTTGTCAAGATTTGCAAAAATTAAATAGCATTTAAGTAAAATTAAAACTATATTAAAAATATTATTAATTTAAAAAACTAAAAAATATTAAAAATAGCATTTATTCAAAAGATGATATTACAATGGTTTTAAAATGAGTACTAGTTAATAAGTATTATGGAAGTTATAATCATATTTAAGCATGAACTGGAGGTTAGGTGCAAATCATATTATTTTTATCATTTCATATCAGCCGCGTCCTTCCTCCTATCGAGATATAAAAATATTCATAACCCCAAAATAATCGTTCAAAAGTTGTTATCGACCAGAAATTTCCTTAATTGGATCATTTTATAAATTTTACACTAAATTATATATTGTCATCAGAAAAAAAAAAAAAGTTAATGCCCTTTTAAAGAATACGGAATGGCCTGATATACAGGTGATTTCTTTATCATAACCCACTCAATTACTTACAGTGTAATAATAATTTAAACATTTTTATTTTGTTATCTTTAGTTACACAATATTCTTGAATTATTAACTTTTTAATACTTTTTAAGTTCACCCTTTATGCCTTGTAAAGGGGTCAAATTTGTTTTTTTTAATGGAAACATATATTTTTAATTTAATAAAATGTTTGAGTTTTTAATTTAATTGTTAATGGAATTTGAATTTTTAATATCACTTTATTCGTTTATTAGATATAAACACTTTAAGTTTCAAATTTTTGAGTTAATATATATGTATAATACACAAGGGATTACACATACAGGTAGCTAATTGGTTTTTTATGACATCGATATTAGCAGGTACACAACATTGTTATTATCAATGGTAGTAAGGTACATTGTTGTGAGTTTATAAATACACTAACTGACAATATAGAAAGTATATTTATTGATAATCATAATTGATAATAAACAATCCGTGACTATGACAGCGATGGCATAAAAACCATTTAGCTACTTGTATTTGTAACACCTTGTGTATTATACATGTATATTAACTCAAAAATTTGAACCTTGTTTATATTTAATAACTACTAAAGTTATACTAAAAATTCAAATGCCATTTACTATTGAATTAAAAATCCAAACATTTTATTAAATTAAAAATATGTGTTCCCATTTAAAAAAACAAAGTTGACACCCTTACAAGGCATAAGGGATTAACATAAAAAATTTTAAATAGTTAATAATTCAAGAATAATGTGGAACTAAAGAAAGCCAAAAAAAAATAATGTTTAAATATATTTATTCTGTAAGTAACTGAGTGGGCTATGATAAAAGAGCACCATGTACATTTAAACGTTTATAAATTCAGAAATTGAACTATTCTAAGCAAAATATAATCTCAAAAACATAATTAATGGCATCGGAAGAATTACAGCAAAAAATTTATATTACCCTTATTATAAGTATATTGAGTAAATAACAGTAAAGCAATAGATTAAATACAATTACGAAATCAATTTTAAATTAAGTTATTATTAACTAGTTTATGCTTTAAAACTAAATACATCAACTAGATTTTCACACGAAGGACACCGACGCTTCTTTGCTTCGCTGTCATATAAATGTACCTAACTGTTGATTTAACTTTATACTTCAATAAGAGAACAACTAATTAATTTAATTATTATATCTACTTGTCTTTATTTTGTTCTAAGCCTCAGACTCTACGATTCCTATTAAAGAAAAACATAATTTCTCACACAATTATATACTATTTTTTTATTTTTACATTCTAGTTATTTACATTGATAACATCAACATTAAATGAACATTAAAAAAGCCCAGCACAGTGGGGTCACAGCTCAGATAGGACATGGTATAGTTAGGTTCACTATAGATGATATCTGACAGTGAATAAAATAATTATCATAAAAAACGTTTCGATGCGAATTTGTAGATGGTGTTTAATTTTAATAAATTGGAGGATTATTCCAAAAGCAAAATTAACTACTATTTCCTTCATTATTTCTAATTAGTAGTTGCTTTATAAGTACAATTTATGAATAAATATCTATTAAAGCAATTCAACGTAGTATGAAATTGTTATTTAATAATTTAATATTATATTTTTTTCGGAGAATTTATAAAAAATGTATAGAGTAGTTATTCCTTTTATAGCAAATGTATATAAAGAATGAAGGGCTTGACACAGGTCTGCAAAAAATGTTCATCAGAATCAAAAATATACTTTTATTATTTAATTTTTCGTGCTAATTTAAAAACAACAATTATATGTTTTGCATCACCAATAATTATTGATATTATTTCTAATTAGTTAAAATCTATAGGATATANAATAATTTAAAAAAAAAATTATTAAAATAATAAATAGTTTTTGAGATATTTGCTGGTCAATGTTAAATGGATCACCCTGTATAAGGAAAATAGTTTTTTATATTTCAATTGTATCATCTATTTAAACACCAATAGTTACATAGAAATTATTAATATTTCTTTTGAAATGATTTATTAATAAAAAAATAATTAAAAACACAAAAAAATTGTTTTAAAATTATTACAGATTTTGATTTTTAATATTTTAAAAATAATCAGTGAACAATATCATTTAAAAAAAATTTTTTTTGGTATTTTAAAATTAATTTTTTGAAAGTTTATAATAAAAAAAAATTACATTATATTACATTAGCTTTAATTTAAGATATATATAAAAGTGTCAGACTTTCCGGAACACTTTCATAAGTTAAGTTGAAAAAGTTCTATTTTTTACATGCATTTTTTAGATTTGAACCCCCTTCGTATATAGGGAAATAATCCGATTTAAAAAAACAGTATGTCGAATGAAAGATGTCTATAAATACTACTTCTCATGAAAAAATTGTATTGATCCATACATTTTTCAAAAAGTTATAGCATAATAAAGTTAAAAATGTAAAATACAAAATCGAAAATTTTCACACAAAAATAGCATTCGGTAGCCATTTTCACCGTAAAGATAAAATAAATTTTTTTTTTTTTGCATAATTCAGTACATTACATTAACTTTAATTTAAGATGTATATAAAAGTGTCAGACCTTCCGGAACATTTTCAAAAGTTAAGTTGAAAAAGTTAATTTTTTGTGAAAGAGTTGTCATTTTAAATCCCCTCCTGTGGGCAAGTAAAGGGTCACATATAAAAAAAAAATATACCAAATGAAAGGTAATAATATTATAAATCTATAAAAAAAGAATTATGTTGATTTGATTATTTTTAAAAAAGTTATAGCTCTTTTAAGTAAAAAAAATTAAAAAAATTTTGAAAATTAGCGATTTTTAAATTTGTAATTTTTTTGGAGGTTTCCCTCATTTACGGGGAACGAGGGAATTTTTTTCAATTTTTGAGGGTAATGTCTTCGACTAGATACGATTTGTGACCTTTTGACGTATCATTGAAAGAAATAGGTTCGATGAGAGCTGAGAAAAAGTGGTAACAGGCACAAAAAAAAAAATTATAAACACATCTTAGTAAAACCAATACCTTCTCAGCTTCGCATCGAAGCTAATAAAAATAATTTTTTTTAGATTTATTATTTATATAGCAACATGTTACCAAAAAATTTGAAATATTATAGACTATTAGTAACACACAAATAAAATTAAAAAGTTAATATATTACAAAGTAAAATTATTTAATTTTGCAGTTGAAACCTATTATCATATCAATTTTATTTTGACAATATATACTTTAAAAACATTAAAAGTGATTTTTTTTCATTTAAAATTCAAAATGACAATTAAAAAAAGAATGATTTTAATTGTCTATATGGAAAATGTGAGCTAAGTAAATTTTTCATTGAAACAGTTGAAATTTTTTCAATTTTTGAGGATATTATTTTTAACTAGATAATAGTTGTGATTATTTGATGTAATGATAAAAAAAGTTGGTCAATGAGAGTTGAGAAAATAAATGAGAGCCATAAAAAAATCACATAGTAAAAAAACTTCAAAAATAAAACATCAAAAATAAATTTCTTCAAACGAGGAAGGCTACACTGATGGATTCCTTAATATTTATTAAAGTTATTGAATCTAAATGAGATAAAAATCAAATGATTTTCTATTACAAAAATTTTATAAGGTATTTTAAAATAAAATAAAATAAAAAATCGAAAATTTTATCACAAAAATAGCATACGGTAGCTATTTTTCATGAATACAAAACGAAATTTTTTTTTCCATAATAATGTATATTACATTAGCTTAAATTTAAGATATATATAAAAGTGTCAGACTTTCCGGAACACTTTCAAAAGTTAAGTTGAAAAAGTTATCATTTTAAATCCCCCCCTCTGGACAGATAATGGGTCAGATTTATAAAAAAAATATATCAAAGTATAGGTAAAGACATCATGCATCTATATAAAAAAAAGTGTATATTTATTTGGTAATTTTTGAAAATGTTCTTGTAATTTAAAGTAAAAAAAGTTGAAAAAATGTAATAATTAGTGATTTTTAAATTTGTAATTTTTTTGGAGGTTTCCTCCATTTACAAGTAACGAGAGTAATGTCTTCGACTAGATACGATTTGTGATCTTTTGACGTATTGTTGAAAGAAATTGGTTCGGTGAGAGCTGAGAAAAAGTGATTTTCTAAATATGTCGTATGCAAAATCTTTATTTTCATAGAACCTTATGTGTTATAAGTAATCATTAATATGTTTTCATTTTTTGTCTATATTTGAAATTTATTTTATTTCGTTTGAAAATATGTATTGTTTAATGTTTTTATATATTATTGACCAATCGTTTTTGTTTTACGATTCTAATAGTTTTTTGTTAATTATAACGTGTATAATCGTAATGTTATGAAAATGGTTTCAAGCTCTGCGCACGAAGGAAGTAAAACTTCATAACGATGATTTATATGTGTGAACTAAAAAACGATTAAGAAATTAACAACGCAATTTTCAATTGAATATAATGTTAATCTAAATGAATAGGATATTGAACTACATTTATATAAATAGTATATCAAATATTTACAAAGAACAGCTTTATGTTGATACGTTGTTATTTCAAAATTAAGTCGATTGCTAATTAAATAATACGTTTACATATGTTACTGTAAGAAATGATCATAAAAATATCTTACGTCACACATGGGTCTGAAATTGAATTTTAAGTGCTCATAAGACCCATTTGAAAATGTACTTACAATATTAAAATAATTATGAAAACTCAATTCTGATATATTGCTTAGACAAAATATAAAATTTCAAGGTTACATGTTAATCTGGTTGTTATTCATAGCCGTTTGAAGTATAAATATGGTTATACTAAGGGTATTTTAACGTGAAAAAGGCCTTTCGTTGTCAATTTTTATAATAATTTAAAACAAATTTTTTTTGTATTTTATTAAAAGTAAAGGTCAAAAATTTAAAACTTTTTTTCACTAAGTAATGGTTGTTTTAATAAAATAGATTATTTTTTGGGTCATTTTGGAAATTAAAAGGCACAATACTAAAAATTACACTATTTTACTCAAGTATCGGTGCATAGATATTGTAGAGCAAGTTTTCTAGATTTTAAAAATATATTCTTTTTTGCAGTGGACAAAAATAATTTTAAAAACTATTCGATAGTCTATTCGAATAGTGTATGCTAAAATTAAACTATTCGGTTGTATAACAACAATTCGAATAGTTATTCGATTGTTTTAAAAAACTATCGAGTACTATTCGAAAATGGCCATCACTGCTAATAATCGTTCTCTATATGACACATATATACTGGTCACCATTGTCAATAACTGTATGATATTAATACTGTTTGTAACTTTATCTTTTTGATATTCTATAAATTGTTACGCCGATACCCTCTCCTAAATTGTCGGTGTGTCAAATTACTTAAATAAAATATAACCAGCAGTTTTCATCTGACAGGAAATTACACAAAATGGTATTCCTCTTTTTACCCCATCGGTTACTGACCGATCATTTTTACTAAGATCATTATCTTATTTATTAGCCAGATAACACAATGTTTCCATTTAAAAACCCAAATTTGTTACAATTTTAAAGGAAATTTTGAGGGCATAGAACTATTAATGGTTGTTAATAATTAACATCTATTAATAGTTCTATGCCTTCCAATTATTTAATTAATAATTATTAAACTGTTTGAGATACTAACTTCTGAAAAAAAATATTTTCTTATATTTTCGATAATATTTTGTGAGACATATCAAATTGCCCTATACATTTTATTTTGTTATCAATGTTTAATGTCAGTACATTAACCTATGTAAATATGAATAATAATGTGTGCACACATTAGATCATTAAATTTAATGTTTGTTTTTATATTTACTTTGGTAATATACCTGTACTTATTAATTGGTAAACAAATTAATTTATTACTTATATTGTTATAGAATTCATCACATTAACACTTTTATATAAAAAACAAGTTTTAGCATCATTAATAACTTTTGACTTAGTAAATAATAGGCGTTACTTAAAAAAATAATACAGTTTTACACAAAGTTAATAGAAATTTTAGCTTCGATGCGAAGCTGAGAGGTATTAATTTTACTACGATGTGTTTTTTTTTGTGTTTGTTACCACTTTTTTCAGTTCTCACCGAACCGATTTATTTCAATGATACGTCAAAAGATCACAAATCGTATCTAGTCGAAGACATTACCCTCAAAAATTAAAAAAAAATTCCTCGTTCCCCGTAAATTGGGGAAACCTCCAAAAAAATTACAAATTTAAAAATCGCTAATTTTTTCAATTTTTTTTTTTTACTTTAAATTGCCATAACTTTTTTATATAGATGCATGATATCATTACTTTTCATTTGATATATTTTTTTTATAAATCTGACCCGTAACCTGCCCACAGGGGGGTATTTAAAATGACTTTTTAAAAAAAAATTAACTTTTTCCACTTAAATTTTTAAAATGTTCCGGAAAGACTGATACTTTTATATATATATATATATATAAAAGATATATATATATATATATCTTAAAATAAAGCTAATGTAATATACTTTATTATGAAAAACAAAATTTGACCTCTGGACTTGTCTTCCTGGTGAAAATGGCTGCCGAATGCTATTTTCATGTGAAAATTCTTGATTTTATTTTTTATATTTTTAACTTTATAATGCTATAACTTATTGAAAAGTGTATGGATCAACACAATTTTTTTATGAGAAATAATATTTTTTAATAATCCATTTTTCATTCAGGATATTAATAAGAAAATAGCAGATCATGTTGCTTTTGGAATAATAAACCAATTTTTTTAAAATTATACACTATTTAAAGATTTGCATCGAAGCGTTTTTTTTTTATAGTAATTTTAATCACTGTCAGATATCATTATACTTGATCCCACTATGTCATATCACCATTTTACCGCGACCCCCCTGTGTTGGTTGTTTTTATTTTTATGCAGCGCGGGTGGATAATAAATATACACTAGTACGAGATGTACCAATCCTTTGTTTTAAAATGCTTGTAATTTAATAAAGTATATACTGCATAAATTATATAAAATAAAAAATACTTTATTTATATTTGCAAATTGCAAAATCTTAACTGAATTTTTTAAAGGGTGAGTTTTTATAAATATGTTTAGTATCTGATAAATATTTATTGGTGAAACATTATCGAAATTATATCACATACAGAAATAAATGTTTTAAAATGTTTTTTTTACTGAAAAAGGTAAAAATAATTTCAAAAATGATTAAATTTAATATATGTATGATTTTTACAGGCTTTATATCATATACATTAATTTAATATTTAAACTGTATAACTAATTTATTCTGATGTAAATATTATCGTGTTTTTCAAAGTTTTTCATGCATCTATATTTTTAAATAACTGGTTAATAAATAATAAATAATACGTCACCAAATCCTAATTTGGTTACCTTATTTTAAATAAAAACTCACTTCTATCAACGCCATATTTAAAAATATTTTTCATTAGTTATAACTACATTTTAATAGTTAGACACTCAAAAACAGAAAAAATTATTTATTTTCAAATAAATATCCATCAGTTATTATTTAATATGATCGAATTTTCAAGAAATCAAGTTTTTTTAGTATGCCGTTGTTAAAAGTAGCGAGTAAAATATTTATTAAATACAACTATAATATTTTGAGAATAATTTCATCAACTTCATTTATACAAGTATATAATGTAATAGCTAAACTAAAGTAACAAAAATACAACTTACGAGAACTGTTAATATAAGTATGCACTTCATTTTGTTTTCAAAATTGATAGGGTTAAATTTGTTTGAGAAAATATATTTTATGTACTAAATATTTCACTCGGTTTTCTAAATATGACATTCATTTGTTAAATTTTCGAAGATATTGCATAAAAAGTTAAGTAACGCATTAAAAGAAAATAAATATTATCAAATAGACTTACTTATTTTTATGAAAAACGAAAAGTACCTATTTATGTTTTACTTAATATACTTTAATAAAACATATATAAGTATATGCATATATGTGGGCGAAATTAAAAAAGTAGAACTCTACGAGCTTAACGGTATGATCTATTCAAATATTTCTTTTCGATTGATTCATTTAGTGTTTTAAATTATTTTTTTTTTGTGTAATATATATATTATGGAAAATTATTTTTAAAAAATGGTATACAGAGTGATTGGTTTATCATAAACTACTCGATTACTCGCAAAATAAGTATAATAATGGGAAAATTATTTTTTATTTTTTTGGTTATATATTATTCTATAAAATAAAATTCAACTAAACTAAATCCCACTTCTCACCTCCAGTCTATACTTTAAATTTTTAATAAATTCTGGAATACTATTCCAAAAGTTGTTATCGACCAGTCATTTTTTTTTTTATAAAATATTATAAAGTATTTTATAAAATTATTAATATGTACGTTACTATTAAAAAAAATAAATGTGACACCTTTATACGTTATAAGGGATGATCCTAAAATGTAATTATTAGCTGATATGTAACTAAATGAAATATTTTAAATAAATATTTTTCTAATATCATATTTATTTTGCGAGTAATCGAATGGTTTATGGTAAATCAATCACTCTGTATACACGGTAATTGTTTTAATGCTGACAAAAATTTTAAGTGGAAGTTATAGTTATTATAGCTGCCACTTAAATTTTCAGCCAAAGTTAAAAGAATCGCCATGTATATAAATTCAATTCTGACGTCAATCGATAATAAAAATCTATTTATAAAAATAAATAAAATGAAATTACTTTTACCAACTGTTAACGATAATATTTTAGTTTTAATCTAATAAAATCAAAATTTGAAATTTTCTGGGCCCCATAATACATGAAACCCTTTCCATTGCTTTATATTGTTAGCCATTTTTTAATTTATGTAACAACCAGAGATTTGAATACGTATTGTCTTGTTCGACGGATTTGAGTTGGGTAATTTCTATCGTTTTAATACATAAATTATCTCTAATATACAGAGTGATATCAACCATTAATTACAAAATAAAATAAATTTCGGCAATATTAGGCATTTCTTATTTATATACAGTATGGTGATTTATTAATTATACTATCCCCCATTTTTTCATAAATGTTTACGTAAAACTTTAAATAATTTGTATTGACAATTGTAAATTGCAATTTACTGCAAGAGAAAATTATTTCTAAGGGTAAATTTTAGGGATAACTTTCAAAAGTTAAATGGGAGCCGATTATAATTTTTTTACTATTAAACAGTAAATGGTCTAAATAAATTATTGACAGGTCGATAACAAATTTTGTGTCGTTTTTTTTTTTTGAGATATTAGTATTTGATTATTTAAAAAGGGTAAGGCGTGAAGTAGCGTTTAGCAACGTTCTATATTTACCATGACGCATAAATAAGAAATTGTCTTTATTGCAAACCTTACCTATAACTAAAAATTGTAATAACTCTAAAAGTAATAGTAAAATTTTAGTTATCGACCTACAATATTCTATTAATCTCCATTGAAAGGTAAAAAAATAATAGTCGTCTCCCATATAAATTTCGAAACTCATCCCTGTATTCTACCCTTAGAAATAATTCACTGAAAACATGGAAGTGGTAATATCCTTAATAAATGAAACTGTATACTTAAAAATTAATCAATAGTTTTATATTTTTTTGGTACGTTTCTTATACTTTATAAGAAGCAAATTGATCTGTTATGCCTGGCTTAAGGGTAAAAATAAAAGTTTGTTAGCTACTGTTTAATAATCCCATGGAATCTCTAATTACATAATTAATAAACCGAAAATTTAATCATGAATTAAACATTAGTCAAAAAGTAAACTATGATATAAATTTAAATATTAAAGTTACAAATTATAAACTGTAATATTTTAAACAATTAAAAAATTTAGGTGAATTAAATATTGCAGTTGAAAAAACATACATGTATGCCAAATAATAATGATTTACTAAAAGCTGTGGATGTCTTTGTTAAAATAAAACATCGTAGATATTCTTTAATTTTAATATTTTATTAGATGTATAAACTATCGCTTGTTGAAGTACTAATCGAGTTGAATAAAAAATATATAGGAGCAATATTATTGTATATAATTTGAAGGCATGAAAGATTTGTAGGTATTTAAGATTATACATGATGATTTTTTATAATAAAACACTCAATTGCTTACAAAATAAAAATAATTTAAACATTTTATTTTTTGGTTATCTACAGTTACAAATTATTATTGATTACTTATGTAATACTTTTGAAGTTCATCTTTCATGCTTTGTAGCGGGGACAACTTTGTTTTTTCAAATTGGGAACACGTATTTTTAATTTTATAAAATATTTAAGTTTTTAATTTAATAGTAAATGACATTTGAATTTTTAATATAACTTTATTCGTTTATTAGAAATAAAATTTTAAAGTTTCATATTTTTGAATTAATATACATGTATAATACACGTATCTTTTCTACAAATGAACATTTTGAAAACCCTAAAAAATTTGAATTGGTTAACGATATACGATATAAAATTATTACAATATAATCCAATGTACTAGAGTGAAACAAATAAATATAGATTAAAAGTAAGTACATTGGATTTTGATTTTCCAACGCTGTAAATGTATATTATATTCAGATGATCTTAAATTGTTTATGGTAAAAAAATCACATGATGACTACCGTAAATTGCTAGTGGATGTTGACAGGTTTATTGTTTGATGTGAGTTTAATAACTCAATCAAAAAGTTTAATAAATCAATATATATTAACGCAAACAAATATCGTTTCATCGAGGCCACAATCTGATATTGAAAATATATGTAGCTAATTGAAAAAATCTTGAAAGATTTAAAAATATTAAAGAAATATGTGTCACCATACTCGGTACCATAATGTTTTTTTTCTTGAACATCAGTCAAAAAATTATGTTAAAATAGTCGTACGTTAATCTATGTAATAAATTGTCTGATTTCGATTTTTACAATTGGGCTGATGATGTGTGAGTAAATGATGCGGTAGATCATGACAAGTGGAGGTCTAGGATACGAGTGACGGACTTTAGTGAATATTAGTGAGTAAATATTCTAGTCTATTTTAGGGGGGGCACTGGTAAAAATATCAAAATAAGTGTAACTGTATTCAATGCAAATTAGATTCATATAACTAATTTGAAAATCGGTGATCCCATCACCGTAACTTCTCCCTGTAAATAAATTTCAAATATGACTTATCTGATGTACCTTTCTTTTTATTAAAAATTGCGTACATATTCGTTAGTTCTTGTAAAATATCTTCTTCAATGTTATTATCTTGATAAAATATTGATTGTAAGACTTGTTAACTGGCCAACTACAACTGGCTTGTTAACTAAGGCTTGTTTAAATTCACTACTGCTTACCCCATCCGTCATTACTCCTGGCCATGTTTTAATAGGTGACTTACTATCATCGTCGACGGAACCTGAAATATGTAATTTAAACAGTAATTTATTATCATGGTGGCAAAGAGTACAACATATTACGCAACAAATTTGGAAACGTTAGAGCGTGGAATACCTAAGTCAGCTGCAGGAGCGTTCCAAATAGATCAAACCGAATAGTTCCACATTAAAAATTAGCTCAATGGTTTTAATAAAAGATCCAAATTTGCCTCCCTTGCAATGGTAGTAAACATTTCCGGGCAATGACGGCGTAGTGTGAGTCGCTACATTCAACACAGAAAGTGGGCTAAGAAAAAGAGTGATGAGAAAGTTATGTCCATTACCAACCCAAGATAATGACGAGCCGACTTAAAATGATTAAAATGTATTGTATATTATGTAATTTAAATTTAATTTAATACTTTTCTTTAATATTTTTTGTAATCAAAATTTGTCAGTGCAATTATTTATTTATGTTCTAGTCAATGAATTTTTATCATGCATTATTTATATTATATTCAGTATACCTTTTGATTGTGGGTTAAATATTTCTATTATATTCCAATTGTTTAATTTATTTTGGTCTATTTAGTGACCGTGACTTATATTATTTATTATATTTTGAAGACTGTTCTTCAAGGTGGCCCCTATGTTTAGTATACGATTATCATTTGTAATAATAGTGGGATCGGTCAGTTAGTTTCTCGTTATACGCTGCGCCGGTAACATTCCCGGACCGTTTCGCGACATATTGATTTTTTATAGTGTTGTATTTATTTATTATCAGTTGTACTATAAATTAATACTCTTAGTCCCGCCAAGGTATAAAAATCCCTTCCAAAGTACTAGTCAAAAAGTTGTTACCGACCAGACATTTTCCTAATTAGATTATTTCCTATTTTATAAGCTAGTTAAATATGTGTGTAGTCATTAAATATTTATATATTTCAGTTTTAGCACTAATTATGAATTTTTATTTAACTTGAATAATTTGGTACAAATGATCTTTTGCAGACCAATTTTTAATTTTTAGCTTTGATGCGTAACTGTAAAATGAAAACTAACATATTGAATGTTTATTTCCACAATTTCCCTTTTTTAAGGGGTAATAAAAAAATGTTTATTTAAACATTTCAAAGTTTAAAATTTTATTCAAGTCCATATGTAAATACGTTAAATAAATATAATAATTATAATATAATAATTAACGTATTTTATATTATAACTGCGACCCTCTTTTATTCAAATCACTAATATGTTAAATTTCTTTGATCATTTCTTCATATTATATTGGATCTTATCGTAAATTACTTCTGAAAGTTAGATAACATGGAATTTAATGTTAACAAATTTGGTTTTAAGTAAAACTAATAGATTACTAAAAACTACTTCTAATTTCCCTTGTTATATTAACGTCAAGTAAACAACTTTTCTGGAGTAGAAGTGATAACAATTTAAAACTGTGATATCTCAGTATTGTTATGAGGTAATTGATTTATCGTGGACTAACTAAATTTCTCCTAAAATTTTAATAAAAAATAAATAAAATTGTTATCTTGTTGATATATTATAAGGGTGCCAACTTTTTTTTTTAATTACAACATACATATTTAGAGTGTTTAGTGAGTAAGGAAACGGGCGAATCTAGTAATCAACGATAAATCAATCATCCTATATACTTTTATACTAAGAGAATAAGAATATTTCAGAATTGTTATCTGGATACATATTAAATAATATGAATAATTATTAAATTTTTAATACGAATGTTAAGATGAGATCGACTAACATGATGAATATAACAAAATAACGATAGCTGTTTAAAACTAGTTTAACACAAACTTTATCAGCAATTTTTTAGAACATAGTAATAATTTAAAAAAAAAAATTAATCCCAGTCTCCTACTGGAGCCCCCCTACATTATAGCAGACTTTACGAAAGTATACTTCTTACTAATTAAAAATTTCCATGATAAAAGTGTAAATGAACTTCTCTGTGAAAGATTTTTTAAACAATTTAAATGAATATTTTGTAAAATATTGAGTAGTTGGTTCAAAACAATTTTCATGGAAACTGTACATGTATAAATTTCATGTGTATAAACATTTACTAACAACGTATATTTCGTTTAAAATCTTAATACTCAAAGACAATTTTCTTTTGAATAAACTGTTCCATTTAAATTAAAACTTTTTTGTAAGTTGATAAAATGTCTACTAATAAAAAATCTTTACGTGTTACCGTAAGTAAATTACAATTCTATTTTATATAGTTTTATTAGTTCCATTTAAAATAATGTAATTTGACTAGTTTTTAATGTTACATAATGTAACTGATTCGTTAAACTTAATTTAACCATTCTTGCACAACTTAAATCTAATTTAAGTATAGATTTTATTTATATAAGCGAGTTTTAAATGCTGTTATGACGAAAACTTGAAAGCATTTCTTTATAAATTGATAGAATTTCTTTCGTTTATAAAAGATGTTCTTTTTTTTCTAAACTACTATTTTATTTTTTGCTATATATTTTACGTTTAAAACTAAATTTATACTTAAATTATTTAATTACTTCTATTTTAGACGCTTAACTTTTTACATTCAGTGTTTAGCAAAGCAAAGAAAAGACTTGGATTCAAATCAAAAAAGAAGGGTAATACATGTATTTTAACTTTTATAAAATTTACACATACCTTGTTATAGGATATATTAAAATGTACTTATAAAGTTTAATAACAATAGTCAACACGCATTTGATATAATTTATGGACCATTTATTCAAATAAAAATATTTTAATCTATGAAATTGATATATTCACTAACATTATTAAAGATGTGCAAAGTACCCGGCCATCTTTTTTAGGACTTTGTTTTTATCCAGTACTTAGGTTGTTATCATTTATTACTTCCTTTTTTAATCAGTATTGGGTATATTTTCTAAATATACCTAAAAAAATTAGTATGTTATACATGAGTATTTTTAATTATAGTTTGTTGTTTTTCATTATTATCAAAAATAAAAAACTTTTTCGAATACCTAGGAATATTTTTTTTGAATTATTATATTAAATATAAAAATTATTTTATATTTTATTTATTAAATAAAATACATTATTCAGCTCAAAATAATTAAAGTTGATGCCCAAACATTATTAATTCACACATTTTTCATTTAAATTTTTTTTTTGCAAAGTATTCCTAAATATTATAAACCGTACAAAATAACCGAATACTTATTGAAATATTCAAATTTTAAATTAAAATTTTGGTATTTAAAATAAAAACACATCCGCTCAAATTCTTGAGCATTGAATGTTATTATTATATAATTGCATTATTTAGCTTTATTAATAATTTTATTTAAATTAGTTAAAAATAATGGTAGTATTATGGTTATTGTTATATACAATCGTTTAAGTTGCAACTATTGAGTAGATTAAAATGTTACAGTTATTTTACCTTCCAGGAATCACAAATATTATTTATTATATAACCCAATGCCAATAATTTGGTTATTTAATGAGGATGGAATGTTAGAATTTTAATATTTTTAACCTCTTTATATCATTAATACTGATCATTTGGCTATACGGATTTTACTCAATAGTCGATCTGTACGTATTATTTTACTTGACTTATGCAGTACTCTCTCAAATCGTAATAAAAATATAAAGTTATAAAAATATTTTTACAACATAACAATGTTTAAAAATAATTTTTTTTAAAAATGCTATCAGGTCTGTTAGTACATGTATTTACTAAACAAAATATCTCTAATTATTAACAAGAGATAGGACATGTAAGGGAGATCTATAAATCACAAATTTTAAATTTAATGATTCATAAATTACAGTAAACATAACGTTTACCGAGATAATAATTATTTTATAGTAAATTTAGCTAATTGTACCACTAACACTACTGTGAACTCAACTGAAAATGAATCACAAACAATATATACTGAAATCAGTTATGCTCCTCATCCTTCTACAATCCAAGAAAAAACATTATCGTTGAAAGGTAAATAATGCAATAAAAATATAATATTTTATTATTTTTTTATTACCGTTTTATATTGATTTTTTCACTTCAATTTATACTAATCAATTTGTATAAGATTTGGCACAACAATCTTTGGACGAGAACAATGAAGTGAATTCAGCGAAATATAAATCACAAGGAGAATATGTTGAAATGGCTAATGCTCCTCATCACTCGATAATCCAAGAAAACCCATTATTGTTGAAAGGTAAATATTGTAATAAAAATATAATATTTTATTATTTTTTAATTAACATTTTATATTGATTTTTTCGCTTCAATTTATACTAATCAATTTGTTTAAGACTTGGCACAACGATCCAAGGATAAGAACAATGAAGTGAACTCAGCGAAATATAATTCACCAGAAGATTATGTTAAAATGCCTAATGCTGCTCATTCATCAATTTTCCAAGGAGAGTTATCATTCTTGAAAGGTATTTATTTTAATGAAAGTATGACATTTGATGTTTTGTATTTAACATTTTATGTTATTACTTAAATTTATCTTGATCGATTTTGTGAGGTGATTGAAGTGATCTCGGCTGAAATACTTAGGGCCATTAGAAAAACATGTTGAAGTTGAAGGACTACTAAAGAATAATTTATTAAGGTTTAAAAAATAATCAGTTTTATATCCTTCTATTTCCCGAACTTAACATGCTATAGTGTTATGACCTTCTTTCGCATATTAAGGAGTCAAATATCTTTCTTGGCAAGGCCAAAGATATATGGTAAAGTATTATAGCCGGCTTGCACCTGAGACCTAAGACCAGACACTACCACTGAGAAAATCAAAAGAAAATCTCGTTCGTTACTCTGGGGATCGAACTTTAGAGTCCGTGCGTTGATACATACGTTTTTATCTACTAGGCCGACTGATCCTGAAATATTTTCTCGATATTAGACAACAACTTTTCAATTTACATTTTCACACTATAATAAAAATTTTTTTTAATAATATTAATTAATAATAACTCTAGATATGCAACAAGAGTGGTATTTATGCTGCTCAAAAGAAGTCGACGAATGTTGCTGTATGGATAAGTTAAGAAAATCATATGTTAATGAACATTATATTAAACAGATGTTTTTAAATTTAGAATTTAACAAAGGTATTATAAACAAATTAACTGAACTTCTCAACAAATTTAATCTAAATTTTATCCTACTAATTATACTGTTTGGTAGAAAAAACTGTATCAATATTGGTCTGTGCAAGTCAGCTCTTTGAAAAAGTTATAAAATTACAATCAATTTTCAAATCGCAAAACATACCTAAAGAAATAACAGAATTGAGCGTAAACAACTGTTTAAAAATAACAAGACAACTTATAAAAGATTCTACTCGTGGTTGTATGGAAAATTGCTATTCATCGTCGGGAGTTCTTAAAAATTTAGAAAATTTATATTTTGAAGTTTTGTTAAAAATCGAAGACCTCATGATCTTGGTTGATCAAATTTTAATATGCCAAAAGGCACAGGATTAATATAAATCACGATTTTTCATTAGCGTTAAAAAAAACATAAGCTGCTTAAGTGGTTGATTTTCTTTGTAATCTTTTAAGTGTTATTCACATATTTTTTTTATACTATTATAATTAAAAAAATTATCATTTTTACTGATATAATATTATTAATAATTATTTTTCTTATAAATTATGTTACGTAAAATATATGTATTTTTTGTATTATTTTATCAATAATTAGAAACACTTATTGTTATCAATTCAATAATTCTATAATTGACATAGCAAATCTGTTCAATTTTTTAATTTAAAAAGCTCTTTTTATTCATTTTAATTTAAAAAGTATAATTTTCAAATGAAATTAAAAATGTTTACACAATTGTCATATAAAAAATTTTATTAAAAAAAATAAATTAATACTAATTAATACATAGAATCATGTACTTTTATTTAACTAGAAACTTTGATATATATATGTATATATATATATATATATATATTTATGTGGTAATATGGCTTAATAAAAATAATAAAATATACATTGAATATAAACCAGCGATCTCTTATGTTATTCCTGAGATGCTTTATTATTATTTGTGATTGATTAATTGTGATAGAAACCTTGTTGTGGGCGTTTTTAATGAATTTATAAGGGGGTACTGGTTCGAAACGTGTTAGTAAATGGATATTTTGCATACCATAATAAGAAAACTTTGATGATTTTTGATTTATTCATATATATGCGTACTTTAGTACACATGTTCATAATCCAGGCGTTAAGCACAATAAAATGTATTGATTTAATTAAGCTTGAAACTTGTATGACTACTTGATCATATTACTAAAGTTGTATATTTTTTTATTGTTTTTTATTATTACAATAATCAAATAAATAAAACATAATAAATATGACTTTGAACATTTAAATAAAATAATTAATTGTGTGTATATATATATATATATAAATATATAATATAATAATATTATCAATATTCAATTTAAATAAGTTATTGATGTTCAAGTGAAATTTATTTATCTTTAAATAAGCTTAAAATAATGAAAAAAGATAATATTTTAGGTAGGTTCGTGGGATCCGTTTCCTGTAGTATTTCTGAGGTGTATTTTGTTTCGGAAGGACCGGCCCAAAAATGAGCAAAATCCCTTGGAAGGTATTTTGCGCTCTTTTAGTGATAGCGTACTACTTAAGGGACTTAAAACTAAAATTACCAACACACACTCGGTGACTTTACGACCAATAGCCACCGAGTAATAAGCTATCAAAATTTGGGATAATTGACTTGGGGTAACTGGGTACCACTAATCAGTTCCTACAGGTCCGATTACACGGTTAATGAGTGCATTCCTTTTTAACACGCTTATAGTAGTTTTACATGTATGTTTTTCGCGTAAGACGTTCCCCGCGCCCCCGCCAGCCCACAAAACACGGCTATACCTCGTGCATGATACGTTTACGTATTTAAGTCGCTTTTCATGTATATATAATGGATATTACATGTATGTATATTCTAATTACTATTAAAAATATATATTAACACGCTTTATTTTCCTTAAAAGATATAGAGTGTATTAATTCCGATTACAAAGAATGATTACCGTATTGTCATTTTTTGTCACTACCTCCACGTTCCGGGAGTGGATAATTTTCGCGCCTGCTCCTTTTCTTGGATGTGGTAGCCGTTTCTCAGACTCCTTCTCCGGAATCAAACCCTGTTTTCCCTTTACCCGTTACAACAATGATATTAATATTAACTACTATCATAACATGAAACTAAAAAGTGAAAAATAAATATAGTTAAAAAAAACACGCTTTTATAGCACATTGAACTAAAAAGTTAAAAATAATTTTTAAAATAAGCTTAAAACAATAATGCACGATAAATACTAGTATTATTGTGATAAAAGCGTGGGCGTTTTGTTTCATATATTTCGTATATTGAGCGCCCGACGCTTTTTTTCTCAATAAAACTAATATTTTTCGTTCATTATTGTTTTAAGCTTAACTTTTTTGTTCGATGTGCTTTAAAAAATGTGTTTTTTAGTTTTTTTAAACTATACTTATGTTCTTGATATGTGTACTGACACGGTTCCGCGTTGCTTGGTGGTACACGGAGCCCCTCGGCCCGCGCCTACTTTATCAGCCGTTACCATACTACGTGTATAATTATATATAAGTTTCCGCACAATGCCGGACCGTCGATCCTCCCACACAAGCGGACCAACCGGTTAACTTAGCGCTAGAGGATTCTGAAGCTGAGTGCTCACACGATTGTAAGCCGCGATACAAACGACAAGACCACCGCACAGATGACGCGAGAACCAGTAGAAACAAATCGTATTGTTTACCCTCGTCTGTCCGAACAGAGATGCGAACATTCGGGACGAGCAACACCCCCCAAAAAATGACAAAAAAAAACACGCCTGACTGAAATCGAAAAACGCGAACCACGTGACTTACAACAGCTAGCCAGTTAGTCCACGCGTGCGTCGCCTACACTACCTAGAGCTAACTTGTGTCAGTACCCAATGTAGTATAATTGAGGGGTTAAGCGCAACAGTGGCTTAACCCTCAAATGTTAAAAATTGGGTTAATAAGATCATTTTGTTTAGAATAAAAAATATTTTATTGTAACAAAAGCCTATTTTTGTTTTTTTTTAATTCTACACTAGATAGCAACACTATTTATGTTGTTGCATTAATAAACTGTATATTTTTGTAAGAATTTAATAAAATGTATTACACACATTAACTGTGTAATGGCATAGGCCACTGTTGCGCTCAACGCCTCGATTATGAACACGTGTACTAAAGATCGCATACATATGAATAAATAAAAAATCATCAATGTTTTCCTATTGGGGTATGCAAAATAACCATTTACTAACACGTGCCGAACCAGTCCCTCCTTATAAATTCATTGAAAACGCCCAAAACAAGGTTTCTATCGCAATTAATAAATCACAAATAATAATAAAACATCTCAGAAATTTCACAAGAGATCGCTGGTTTGCTATCTCTAGAATATAAAAAGACCATTTGTTCCTAAAAGACGTCTCAGGATTTTTGTATTGAAGATTTCAATGCTCCTGGTCGATATTCTTTTATATTGATCTGCGTCACTATAAGTAAATATTTCGTCCCTAAAACTTAGTTTTTTTTTGTCATATTACCCTAAATGGTTAACATTATTTTTAGATGATTTAAAATATTTTACCCTGAACTAGGGTAAAGTATTATATAAGTATTATTTATTTTTATTTTTACCTAATATCCTCATAAGAAATTATTATTTTTTTATTATATTTAATAATTTCAAATATAATTGTGATCATTTCTGAACAGCTATAAATGAGCCAATCATAGTGAAGAACCGTAATTTTATTTATTCAGGTATAATTTTCTTATTTTATGATTGTGCACTATATTGTGTCCTCCGTTTGTGTACAGCCTTAAATGTGCCAAACAGAGTGAAGAAGCGTAATATTGTAATTTATATTAATTAGTATAGCAGTAGTACTCTATGCCCATGGACTGGCCAGTACTAAGGCTAAGTTCCACCATTTTGTTTGGCTTTGTGGATAGTATGAAATTTCAGTAAACTAAGGCAAAGTATAAATGAATGGATGTTGAATGATCGGTCGGGCAGAACTTAATGGCAAAGTTGATAGAAACGATAAATGGCACCACCAAAGTGTAATAGAGAAAGGTGTACGATTTGCAGGATATCAGAGATACATTCACATCAAATATTTATTGAAAGGCAAACACGAACGTGTGGACAACGGCACTATGCGTGGGAGAGAAAATTATAAAATGTACAGAAAAATTTTACAGGAAAAATATATATTGTTGCATGACCAAATATTAACTCAGACCGGCATAGAAGCGGCCAAGATGACCGAGCGCTTCGCCATTTAACAGACCACCAGTACCATTATTTTCATAAAATGCGCTAAAATAATAAAAAACATATCTAGTTGAAGACATAACTCTAAAATAATTGGAAAATTTTACTCGACTCTTATAAATGGAGGAATCTCCAAAAACATTACAATTTCCTAATTCCGTAAATTTCTACTATTTTAAACTTTTAATTCAAAGTGTCATAACGATTTGAAAAATGGACGAATCAAAATATATTTTTTTAAAATAAAATAACCTTAGATAATATCCTTTTATAATGTAAATATTTTTTTTAATTTGACAAATAATTATTTGGTTACATTTTATTTAATATAATAGTGTGTAAATAGTAATTATAAAAAAACTTAGGGATATTTTATAGTAAATATCAATATCATGAAATAAATTTAATTTTCTGACTATTTAATAAAATATTGTAAAATAAGTTATTAACAAATTTTAACTATTTACTGTTATGCATAAAAAATGAGACGCACTTTTTAATAACGGCAAGAAGTGATTTAATATTTTTTTCTAAAATATATAATTATAAAATATGTTATTCATAATTTATTTGAACAGTACTATTAGTTTAAATTACAGAATAATCATCAACAACATTTTGATTATTCATTGTTTAATTTTGATTCTTACAAAAAATAATGACGAATGTGAAAAAATAATAATTTTAATAAAAAAAGAGCTTAATAAAAATAAAAGTAAGCTGAAAGAAATTCTTGGTAAATTATTTTCAAATAAATTGTGTTAAATTAATACTAGTTCAACCTTTTATATAACGATAGCACAGTGTAGACGTGGTAAAGTTGAGACAAGTAAAGACAAGTATAGACAAGTATAGATAATATCTAAAAGCGATTAAAATCACTATCATAAAAAAGGCTTTGATGCTAATCTGTAGATAAAGTTTAATTTTAGAAAATTGATTGATTATTCAAGATGCATAATTAACTCCTATTTGTTTAATTAGACTCTGATTAGTATTTATTCTTTGATTTATAGGTATAATATATGATTAAATACTTATTACGGCAATTAAAGTTAGTATGAAATTGATATTCAATAATTTAATATTGTAACTTTTAAGGTGAAATTATAAAAAATTTTATAGTAGTTGCATATTTCTGTAGCAAACGTGTATAAAATCAACAACTAGATTTTATCTGTCACCTCATTTTTGAGATTATTAATAATTAGTCAAAAACAAGTATTCACATATGAAAAAATTAAAAACACATGAGCAAAAATTTGTTTTCAAATTATTATTGATTTCGATTTTTAATATATTAAATATAATCCGTGCAAAATGTCATTTATA